ATCCCTGTCCCCCGATACTTTCTCAGAGACCAGAAACAGCATCAGAGAGACATAAAGACCATGTTCACCAAAATCCTAGAACTACAAAGAGTCAACCAGCTGGTAAAGACCCCCCGGCCTTATACTCAGAAAGTCCTGAGTCCTCAAGTTTAAATAAAGTTTTCAATTTGAATCTTCTTTTCTCAACATTAAAATTTTATTTGTCCCTCCAGGAGACGCTGGTCCAAACCATGAGTCTGGAGGACGCGGTTTGTCTCCTGCAGGTGTCTGAGCATGCTCGGCAGGGACGAATCAGAGCCCAGTTCACAAAGGAGCTTGTCCAATCAGAGAGAGGCAGTGTCCGCAGACGCACCTGGAAGCCCTCCAATCTGACCCAGGATCAGGCTGCGATCCAGATCCAGAAGGTAACGGATCTGAAAGACTTATGTCTATTTATTTATACAGTCAAGCCCGAAATTATTCATACCTCTGGCAATTTTTGACTTAAACTTACTTTTATTCAACCGGCAAGTTTGTTTTTTTTAACCAGAAATGACACAGGCTTCTCCCAGAAGATAATAAGACAATGTACAAGAGGCATCATTGTGAAAAAAAATATTTCTCAGCTTTTATTTTTTACTTTCATTTGAAACAGTGCACTCCAAATGATTCAATTACCGTTGGCAAATGTCAGTCTATGGGAAATCAAAGTCTATACATTCCAATAGTCCAGCTGTTTAAGCATCTAATGACGCCATTCATTGACGCTGATTTAATCAAATCAACAGGTGAAATCGAGCTCTCTGCAATTTTGGTTTGTGGACGTCATGGCTAAGAAAACGGACCTCCTGAGGACCTGTGGCTGTGTTTTGGCTGTCAGTCAGGGACAAGGGTATAGACATATTAAATTTTTCAAGTTCGTGTGCAAGTATTTATTAATACAAGAGTTCCCAATGTGGGGGGAATCTCACAGAGGACGTGGTCAGGAGCAAAAGTGACACTGTGCTGGCGTAGGGATTAGATGAGAGAGGTTGAAAAAGAATCAAGGATCCACAAGGCCAACTGGTGAATCTGGGTCTGCTGGTGCAGACAATCAAGGACAACTGCACATGCTGGGTTCCCAGCGCAGACAAGGAGGGGCATTTTCCGATAAGGCACAAAGCCTACATTGCCTTTGCAAATGCTCATTGGGCAAGACATACTTTTGGTATTCTGTTTTATGGTTCGGATGAAACAAAACATGTAATTATTGGAACAATTGACTGTATCTTATTTGGGAGTAAAAGGAGAGCCTTCAATTAAGAAACCATCCCATGTCAAACTATGGTGGTGGGGAATTCAATGCTTTGGGGGTGTTTTTAGCCATGGACAGGGAACCTAATTCACAGTAAATCGGCATCATGAAAAAAGAACAATACATCAAGATTCTCAAACACATTTAGACAGTCTGCAGAGGAACTTGCCGTTGGGAAACAGTGGACATTTCGCACACAAGCCCAAAACACGCAAAAAGTGTGAGGAAGAATGGTTGCAGAAAAAAAATTAACGTGTTTGCAGTGGCCATATGCCAGATCCTGACATTGACACTTCCAATTGAGAATCTGTGGAGGGCTAAGATCAGGGATGGCAAGACCCCAAAACTGAAAGAGTTTGGAGCGTATCGGCTAAAGTTGAATGGGCACAAATCAATGAGACTGAGCTGTCAGACATTATAGGAGCGTTGATTGCTGTCAATTGCCAAAAAGATTTTCTAGCTGATTATGAGAAGGGTAAAATATTTTGACATGCCACCTTTGTTCAATGGACAATAATTTCACAATGTGCTCTTGTCCATTTGGTACTTAATTATGTGGTCCTGGTGTGTTTGTTGGTGTTCTGTTTGGGTCTGATGTTTCTGATGAGTCTGTTTGTCTCTGTGTGTTCTGTTGTGGTCTTGCTGAATGTTCTGTTGTGTTTGTATAGTGGGTCTGCTGTGTTCTGGATGTGGTTGTGTCTGTTTGTAGTTCTGTTGTGGTCTGATGTGGTCTGATTGTGGTCTGATGTAGGAGGGTCCTCTTGCTGTTTACTGTTGAAGTTCATAGACGGAACAAAAATATACTCATTTCATTTCCATGACAACAGACCTGATCTGTAACCTGGTCAGTCTTGGAAGTCGTCTTGTTGGGATTGGTTCAAGATCAGTTTGATTGTTTATTGATATGTGGATCATCGACAGCTGCTCTCTGGTTGGGTTAGATTGACAGGACGTGAATTTTACGACAGGAAAAGGGAGCAATCAGCAGAGGAAGTCATGTGGTCCTTTTATTATTTGGTTTGTGGATTCAAAACATTCTGGTTCGTCTGAGAATAAAGAGTCTAAACACAGACACTTCATATTTCGTGTCAGATGTTGCATCTGCAGTGCGTCAGTCGCAGGTGTTGATATTCAGTTTGCTCAGACGCAGGAAATTAAACAGGAAGTGAACAGGAAGTAGACTTCAGGTGATAAAAACATCTGAAGATCCTTATCAACTGATTACACAGTGTGTTGTTGATTGACAGGGTTGTCTGATGATTTATACAGTGGTTTGCCCTGGGGATTGTATAATTATTCAATGCGTTTTTTTAACAGTGGTTTGGCCCAGACGGGTATTGCACAAAGTAGGAATAAGAATAAGGATAATTGAAGCAAGACGGCTTGACATATTGTCGGCGGCATCCTGTGTTAAATGGTTGCATGTTTTGCGAGCAGGATGAAAAGGCGCGCTATGTTAGCCGGTGTGAATGGCGGATAAGGCGGTTCTTATGGCATCACTAAAATAGACCTCGCTGGATTGCTTCAGAATCACCGGCCAGTCGCGTTATATTTTCCCGACTGGAAACGCTCCTTAAACGAGGTTTCTATGGGAAGAGGTTAAGATATCATACCGAAAAAAAGGCATACCATGCCATACATTACAAGGAGGACAGAGGGAGAACAGCCTGGCAGACACATAGCGGAACCGACTTAATGCTTAAGTAGTCCCAACAAACTGTATCAATGAATAATACATCGTGGTCCACTGGAACCTGTCCATAATTAGGCTACAAACTATAAAGACTAAAGGAGCTACTTTAAGTTCCACTTAATCAAACTGTTTCGTACCTTTGCTTTAAATGTGGCAAGTAGAAGGCATTGTTACTTAAATGTAATTCAATTCAATTCAGTTTTAATTTGTATAGCTCCCATTCATAACCAAGCAGTATATCTCAACACTTTTCAAATAGAGCAGGTCCTAGACCGAACTCTTTTAAACACTTTACAAA